GCTTGCATGAAATAAACATGGTATATAGATAATTGCCTTAAAAGCGAATGACGCATGCACAAAATCATAATTAAACGGATAAAACCCTAATTTGAATAGCAAATGATATTTTTATTTTGTAAATACGTACAATATTCATGTGTGTTAAATAACAGGGACATTCTACTTTTTGTTACAATTTTTCGGGAATTTACTGTTGGTAAATTTTTAAAAAATATTTCCTAAGATATAGATTTATATACCCTTAAAATAATTTATACACACGTATTATAACTGCGTAAATGTATTAGATGTTTGCAAATTCAGAAAACAGTGCCACAGGCTAAAATAATAACAAACGTATTGACACTTTATAAATAGATATTTCACTGTTAATTGAACTTTGTGAAAACTTATTTATCAAGCAATATATAGTTTCAAAAAATTAAACATGTTTTTTTTTTTAAATATTATTTTTAGACACACTGATGAAATAAATCCAAAGCAAATAGTCGTGTACATTAGTAGTAAAAGTGTCACACAGTCAGTACTAAACAAATAAAACATATTTTGTGAGGTCTCGTTAATTCAAGCAACGGACCGAAAAAAGATATCACATAACAATGATAACATTGCTATCTTCCTTATATCTTCCTGTCTTTATAGCTGGACGGTCTTAATTCCAGACTGGTCTTATATAGGGTTAGATGACGTTCATGATGCAAGCACCGTTTGGAATCTTTGTATTTTGTAAGTAACTTTTATATATTTTGAATTATTAACAAAACCGATTTTTTATTACATTCATATCAATATAATTGTCTCATTTTTGGCATTAATACTTTTCTTTGAAATTTATTTTAGTAAAATTTACTGGTAAGATAAAAAGATTAAAACATTAATTATGAGTTAAAAAATAGCTGATAAAAAATTAAAGCTGCATGCTTATAAAGACTCATTACAAAGTTCAGGTAAATTTGAAACTGTGTTTGAAAGAAAATTTATCGTGAAGCGGACAAGGATAGTAGTTTAGACGCAAACATTTAGGTTTTTTGTACTTAGTACTTTTTTCAAGTTTAATTTTCTTGAAATATTTTGGTTTATCTGGAGGCACTTAGCTTAAGTGTTGTTCGTCAATTATTGGTGGTACCAAAAGACCGATAAAGACTTACGGAATAGCACCCGGGTGCTAATATATAAGCACCCTTTTATAAAAAATGTTATGTAGAAGCTTCCCCCAAAAATTCCAAGTCCCAGTTTTAAAAGTATTGTAACCCCAAGGAAAACCCTTTCCTCGGCAAAGTGTTTCCTTATAAGGCAATATAATATATTATGTATTAAAACGGTTTTAAAAGTAGTTCTTACGCGTAAGAAAGTAGTAAATCGGTCACGTGCATTGATTGGCATTAAATGTACTGCGCGTATTAATATAAAGCGCCTGACTGACACAGATTTTTATATTGCAAAATGACAGATGGAACTCCCCCCCCCCCCCCAGAAAAAAGAAAAACACACGGGGGTGTTAAACTGGTATTATGCCGAAATATGTACACAATGTAATCTTTCAATACCTTGTTGATTTGTCGTTTCAGCGCCGCCAAATTGTTTTTCATTTAGTTTTAGTGGATATGACATTGAAGTCTACATTAAAAACCAGTGTACAGGTGTGGATAAGGGCACGTTCAGCACAGCGACAGAGTGTTATCGGCAAAAGATTGGTACCGACACTCCCTTTGTGTTAACACATAATGCACGGCATATCCGAGAAACTGCAGAATGAGATTGTTTGAATCGGCGAACAAAACTATGATTTTCAAAAGATGTAATAGATAGTACAATCAAATCAATCAATTGTGTATTTGTGTATGCACGTTTTTTGATTAAAAAGAAATTACAAGACACATTTTGTTGCTTTGTTTGTATCTATAGTCCACAATTTCTTAGTAAGTAGAAAATACACATAAGTACTGTTGATTAAATTGTAGCTTAATTAAAATACAAGCAAGGTGATTAAAGAAAAGGCAAAAGAAAAAACTCACATAATTATTTCATACTTCTTTGAGATATTTTACGGTTTTCGTGATGAAAATTGTTGCAAATGGGATTTATTAATTGCGTTTTAAGTAAATAATTTTAGCATTGAAATTTCGTAGTTGAGAAAACCAAAACAAATATTACACCAAATATTGTAAACGAAAATATTGTTTGACAACATTGGCTGTCAAGGCAAATTTGTTTTTACATTCAATGCCACCAATGTGTAGCCCGGGGAAGACGGACAAATCCCAACACGTCGAAACTGCACACCTTAAAATTTCATAGAGTTGACAAAACCCAGTTTATAATATTTGTATAGTCTTTTATAATCCAATCATAGTGTATTGCATATTGAAATAATATATAAGATACCATTAATCATCATGATAAAAGGTACTATATAAAGTACTTAAAATAACTTAATTAAACTTAAGTAAATAATCTGTTTTGCTGTTTACTTACAATAACTTGCATAATCAGTCATATGAATTGAATGGTAACAAAAAAAGATAGAAAGTGTGGGGTTATGTCTACACTATAAAATTTAAGGTGTGGGGTTTTGTCCACTCTATAGAATTATTGTGTGGTGTTTGTCCACTCTATTAAATTTTGACATGTGGGGTTTTGACGTGTGGGGTTTTGACGTGTGGGGTTTTGATACTTTGTATCATTAATAAGGTTACGCTTACTGAAATATATATTATCTAAATGTAGAATTCTTTTAAAAATGTACATAAAATGCTGTAGCATTTTATTAACTTTTAAAAGGAAATTTCTTATATGTTTGTAGCTAAACGTAGATAACCATTTAGTCATTGCTAATCAGTTCATCTCTGGTCTGATCAGGGTTGATATAGGTCTTTATAGGTGTTTTTTATTTATTTATTTTTTATTTTTATTTTTTAAACAGTTATATTAATCTTCATGATTATAGGGCAGATCTTAAAGTATGGATTAGCAATGGTAATCTAAATTTTATTCTATTTATTTTTATTTGTTTTCTTTTTTTTTAAACAAGTAAAGGTAAAGAAATGTTACTGTCTCACACATCATTTATTACAACATGATATTCTATCTATGTTTATATGTCAGGATGGAATACAAAATGTATATCATTAGAGTTTTGAAGATATAAATAAGAAAAGAATATACTCAGTAACAATCAGTAACAATCAAAAATGTTTAATCATTTGTATTTTTGATTTTATCTAGTATTTTTAAAGTTGTATAACAATAGTCTCCTATAAATCTGCGATAGATTGGCCATGCTTTTTATATATGTATTATGTAAATGTTTTGTACTATGTAAATATGCATGGATGAGACGTAAATAAATAAATAAACTAAACTGTGGGGTTTTGTCTTATATTCGTAGACTGGTGCTCAATCTCTAAGATGTTTATGCAGCTGATTTGTTATTGAAAACGAAAAAATATTTCTTAAAGATCCTGTATGTATTGTGATTGATATTGTAACTGTGTGTGTACCACACTTACAAGAAATTATATATGTGTATCATTATGCAAATAAAACAATTTTTTAAAAATCGAAGAATATGTTAAATATGTACTGCAATTATTTGATCACATTATATGCAATTAATAAATTATATGCTTTAATTTCGTATTGGAAAATTTGACTTAGAATTTATGGAAAATAAATTTCTAATTACCCCCTTTTATTTACATGAAATGTTAAAAGCGCTAACATCTTTATAAATAATGCTGATTGGAACAGTATTGACAAATCTTGATTTGAGCATTACATTTATGAAATGAAACCATAAAAAATATGTTACAGGATCTTTAAGCATATAGATATATTAATCGATTAATTGAGGCACTTTGGTATTGTAGGAAGTCCATATAGATTTAAAGAATTTTGTCTCAAATTAATTTAAATTTCGTAAGTAAGATAAAAATGGCTTTAATTGGTTTTTAGTGTCGCCACCTTGAATGACATTAAAGTCTTCTGTTTTGTTTTATTACGTAATTATAACAAGACTCCCTGCTAAATAGAATTTTCTTGCATATCAGACTGGCATTTCCGTGAGTTTTACCCATGCCGGAAATTTCATCTGGCATGGAGGGTTCCAGATGAGTCGCGTGCTGTACAATGGCAAGGTTAGGATGACGTCATTTTACCGTTATGAATGAATTTGTAATTCATACGCTGTTGTAAGATAGTAACGGTTGTAATGATATAAATTTTCATTGAAAATAAAGATAAAGAATTTAAAATATAATGGAATATGGTAGAATATGCAAGAAAATCTATCTCACATATGTTTGCGGTTCGGATCGGAACACCCATCCCTCGGTCACCCGCCCATGGGCGGTAACTCACTAAGCTTCGTTACCGCTCAATGGGCGGATCATCTCGGGACGGATATTCTGATCCAAACCGCAAAATATGACAGATATTTATAATATTAGACAAGTGTATATATTTTAACCATGAAATATGATTTATATCAAAAAGATAGTTACACCCACTTTCGCTATCTCTATCGTTTTGGTAAATATTTTAAATACAAGACAAGAATACAAAACACTAATGCCAAAAAAATTCATTCAAGTTTGTATAATGATTAATTCTAGCTTTAATTGTATAATAATAAATTATGCCAACATCAGTCAGAATTCACTTCAAGTGCTGTCCGATGTTGTAGTTCATTTTAAATTTAACAGTCCAAGCCGCAAGAACGGTTCAAAGATTTTTACAACAAAAGTTGAATGGTGAATGCATAAAAATTTCAGCAAGAGATATATAATACATGTATTTTCCAGAGGGATTAATTCATGTTATATTAGGCTTTTACTAAATAACCATGAGTGTGGGGATCTTCATGAGTAACGATTTTGTTTCATTTTCAGTTGATGTTCAATTTTATTTTCATACTTTTTATGAAATTTCAGTCACATCACAGACACAAGTGGGATAGGGGGGTTGGTTCTTATCGTACCCACGCCCCCTCTGGATCCGCGCATGAATTAAACAAAATAATTGACAGCACGAAATAGGATAAAGGTTACAATTAAATTGTGAAATGTGACAGTTATAGTAAATTGTGACAATATTGAAAGTAAATTTATTCTCGTTAGTTCAAATGTAAATTATTGATTAGCACGCAGCTCAGTAACAGTTATTTATGCAGTACAAAACAAAGTGAATGATGTATAGATCTACTGAGAGGTTAGATTAAATTCAGTATGCAACATGAATATAGAGATAGCGCGTGGAGCTGGCTTGTTTTATTTTGTGTTTTGTGCTGTCAAATTCTTCTAGGTGGAATATGTTTACTCGGAGGAATGTATTATATTGTGTTTACAAACGCTCTGGGTGAAAACCCGGTAGAAATATCTTGGCTATGCTCTCTTCCTGCATCGATGTGGTTTTTAGCATGTAAGTTAATTCATTTAATTATTGTTACTGACTTGATCTAGTGAATATTAAATAACATAATATCTTTGTGAATGACTTTTTTGTATTAACATTTCTAAAGCTTAACAAAACTGATATTTTTAGCACATGAATAGTGGTAATTAAATACGCGAAACGGACGTAAAATGCATATAATAGAGTTACACAATTTTCATGCAGTACGCTGTGCGAATCGATAATAGGCGAGTTAACTCTTTGTTTATGCTTTTATCAGGTTGGCAGTTATATCAAATGTGTGTCATTTTTCGCTGATTTATAGGACATTTATTTATATTTATTTATATCACATAAATTTAACAAGAAGAAAGTATTATTCAACGATTAAAATGTTGTAAGATTATTTCCTGAACATTTGAATTGCCTTCTTTATGATTAATAGTCCTTTTTTATTTCAATGTTTATTATGTAGACTGTCTTTATTCTAATATGCTATGTACTATAGGACAATATATAGGATTTAGAACTTTGTACAACACTAATTAGAGAAGAGATGATAAAATAATTTTCAAAGCAATTAAACACTTGCATACAGACCGTAATTCTGCATTGAAGGAATCATCAGGTTTCCAAAAAAAAAAAGAAGAAAAAAAAAAAAAAAAAAAAACAAAAAAAAAAAAAAAAAAAACAAAAAAAAAAAAAAAAAAAAACAAAGAGTAAGTAAAACAGTAAAATAGCCCAACTTACCCCTTACATACTAGTCTTACTCACTAATTTCTTTTCACCATAAGTTATGATTGCAAACTCCTTTTTTACAAAAAAAATATATAAAAATATATAATAATTATTGTAAAAGGCGGAGATAAATTTGCAGCCTAACGAGACTCAAACCTTGAACCCTCGAATACCGTACTGCGGCTCTACTGACTGTGTGACAGAGGGAGATTAATTTGCAGCCTGACCGAGACTCAAACCTTGGACCTCGGAATACCGTACTGCAGCTCTACTTACTGTGTAACAGGGGGGTTATTAATATGGCAGTCTGACCGAGACTCGAACCTGGGACCCTGGGAATACCGTTCTGCGGCTCTTCTGATTGAGCTATCCTGCCGCTTTTCTACAAACTACCACCCACCTGATTAATGAACAGTTCAATACCGTGACAATCATTTTCTGAATAATTTGGGATTCGAACATACCACAACTTCTTGGTCTCCTGAAGAGTTTTTTCAACACCATTTTTATCCAATCTTTCTACTTTGTTTATATTTTAGCCCTAATTGTTCTTGAATTTCATTCATTAAACACATTATCAGGGGATAATTGGGAAATATTTCATCTATCATCGTGGAAGGTCTATACAACAAGTATTATCCTTTTTTATGACCCCACAAAGTGGGGTGGATATAACGTTGCACTCGTCCGTCCGTCTGTCTGTCCGTCCGTACGTCCCGGAATCTTGTGAACGCTACTCCTGTAAAACTGGATGGCAGATTTTGCTTAAACTTCCAGGGATGAACAACCTTAATTAATGTGTAGATGGTAGTAAAGGAAGGAATATTTGCTGCGACCAAATTTAACAGAATTATAGTCCTTCGTTGATTTTTTCACTATATACCATTTAGAAATTTTGTGAACGCAACTCCTCATAAACCGGATGGCAGCTTTTGCTTAAACTTCCAGGGATGAACAACCTTAAAAACTTTCAGGGATGAACAACCTTAATGAGTAGATGGTAGTAAAGGAAGGAATTTTAGCTGAGACCAAATTTAACAGAATTATGGCTCTTTGATCACTTTTTACTATATACATTAATATAGAAATTTTGTGAACGCAACTCCTCTTAAACTGGATGGCAGATTTTAATAAAAAGTTCCACATAAAAATCTTACATACAGATATGCATGCTCTTGTTAACGAGCACATCTGCACAGTGGGGGCATCCGTGTCCATTGGACACAGTTCTAGTTAAATTTTGTACTTACCCGCGATGCACGGTGGTGAAAACACGATGGTACGATGATGAAAACACGATGGTACGATGATGAAAACACGATGGTACGATGATGAAAACACGATGATACTTTATTGAAAACACGATGGTACGATGATGAAAACACGATGATACTATATTGAAAACACGATGATACGATGATGAAAACACGATGATACTATATTGAAAACACGATGGTACGATGGTGAAACTCAGTAAACCGGTAACATCGCGTTTGCACCATCGTACTTTCATCGCTGTACCATCGTGTTTTCATCTTCGTTTCATTGTGCATCGCGGGTAAGGACGAAAACCGGTACAGTAACAAAACGCCAAAAATACATTCTTAAGTTTAAATGTTTACAATTTAAGCTATACACGTACTATGATCATCCTTGAGTAAAATTTTTTAATCATGGATATGAATATTTTTAATTTGAATAATATAATGTTTAAACACTACATATACAAACGTTACCTATTACAGGTCAAGTACAAAATGACTGCCAGTTATTTTAATGGCACTGTGACAAGCTATATGACATGCAGACAAACAAGTTAATTTTATATTTACAGTGTGTAGCAATTATCAACAATATGAGCATAGTATATTTTAAACGGCATGTGTTACACTGTGCGTTATGTATTGTATGGCAGCTGTTACAGAAAAGTTGCCCAGAAATTTATTACATCTTTATAGAAGTGTTGGCAAATATTAATGATAAAAAAAACGAACTTACTTGCTTGTTTATATGTATGTATGTATGTATGTGTGTGTGTGTGTGTGTGTGTGTGTGTGTGTGTGTGTGTGTGTGTGTGTGTGGGTGTGCGTGCGTGCGTGCGTGCGTGCGTGTGCGTGTGTGTGTTGGTGTGTGTGTGTGTGTGTGTGGAGGTGTGTGAGTGTGTGTGTGTGTGTGTGTGCGTGCGTGCGTGCGTGCGTATTTACTTATTTATTGATTAATTAAATTTATATTAATTAATTTATTCATTTATTCGCGTCAGCGAATATCAGTTTGGAAAGGGATATCTGCCATTATGGAAGGGTATTTAAGTAAAAAAATCCATTTATGTTAATTACTTATTCTTGCTTGTTAATTAAAATCCATTTATGTAAATGACTTATTGTTACATTGTAAAGTCCATTCATTTAAATGACTTATTTTGATGACATGTACATTACATGGAAACTGTGGCAAATGTATATTATTATATTCTTTGTCCCAGTTTTTAATTTTTCTGTCCCGTTTATGGAATTGTAGATAATCAATAGTGTCAAACATATCAGTTTGTCATACAAATATTAAACGCAAAATGTATTAACGCAAAATGTATTGACGCAAAATTTATTAATGCAAGATGTATTAACGCAAAATGTATTAACGCAAAATGTAATAACGCAAAAGGTATTAACTCAATATGTATTAACGCAAAATGTATTAACACAAAATGTATTAACGCAAATTGTATTGACGCAAAATGTATTGACGCAAAATGTATTAACGCAAAATGTATTAACGCAAAATGTATTGACGCAAAATGTATTGACGCAATATGTATTGACGCAAAATGTATTAACACAAAATGTATTAACACAAAATGTATTAACGGAAAATATATCAACGCAAACTATATTAACGCAAAATGTATTAACGCAAAATGCATTAACGCAAGATGTACGAAAGTATTAACGCAAAATGTATAGACGCAAAATGTATTGACGCAAAATGTATTGACGCAAAATGTATTAACGCAAAATGTATTAACGCAAAATGTTTTAACGCAAAATGTATTAACGCAAAATTTATGAACGCAAATTGTATTGACACGCAAAATGTATTCAATTGACGCAAAATATATTAGTGCAAAATGTTTTGACGCAAAATGTATTGACGCAAAATGTATTGACGCAAAATGTATTAACGCAACATGTATTAACGCAAAATGTATTATACATATTTTGTAAGTTTAAATTTTAATGCTGAAGTTTTATATTTTTATACCGTCTTTCCTTCTATATGTCCCAATTTGCTAATTACTTATTGTGATTTTCATAATACACTTTACAAATATCATATTTAGTCTCGTTATTCGCACTTCCTATATAACATCATTTAAAAGTTATATAACATCACTTAGAAGTTAAAATAGGAAACTAACTCTTTAAAAGTTAGAATTTTTACCAATAAAACTGGTATCCAGCCACAGAGAAATTATAACATAGAAATCTAAAATAGAAAAAGGGACAAAGAATATTAAAGTATTAATTTACAATCATATCAATGTATTTTGCATGCAAAAATAAGTTATTAACATGAATGGAATTTTAACTTAAATACCCATCCATACGCCATTTTATTGTATTTGTTATGGCGGATAACCACTTCCATCTTTTGATGCTAATTGATCTTATTTATGTAAAAGATCTATACCAATATATGAACGTTTCATTTTTCTTTGAAGTTTGATTTAAATGAAATATCTTTTATAAACAATATATAATGCCTTCGTATAAACAATTCCCCTATAAAATTTAATTTAAAATTTGAAATTACCACTAATTCAATTCATTCTCTTTCACCATTTTTGTTATTGTCCTTCATGCATATCATTTCTCCTCATATTTGTGCCCAGAGGTTAAAGTTGCATACCAACATATTTCAAGAAATTCATACTTGGAAAAAATGTAGTAAGATTTTAAGAAAAGTTAAAAAACGTTTTAAGATTCAAGTAATAATTTACATAAAACATTCGATGAAGGACTAATGAAGGACTAATATTGCAGTATTTTCACTATATTTCTACTGCGTGACTAAGCATTTAGGGATATTCTTGTTTACTTTAACCCCCTTTTAATATTTCATTGTTTGTGAATGCCGTTTGCAATGTGTAAATATCTGTCTTTGTTCACTTCAAAGTATTTTATTTTTACATTTTCATTTTTTTTTTCTAAAAATTAGCTTTTAAAAAATCTGGATGCATGTTGAATTTGAGATATTTTCTTGAAACTTCACAGATACAACGTATATCCCATTAAAGAGTGCGATGCACATTTATTCCTCAACATTTTTAAATTATTGCATTTTGTTATTTTTCATTATTCTTATTTGCCAGAAGTTTTTAACGTATATCCCATTAAAGAGTGCGGTGCACATTTATTCCTCAACATTTTTAAATTATTGCATTTTGTTATTTTTCATTATTCTTATTTGCCAGCAGTTTTTTAAATATCAGCTTGCAACTCCATAGGCAGATAGATGAGCCGCGTCATGACAAAACCAGCATAATGCGTTTGCTACCAGCATGGATCCAGACCAGCCTGCGCATCCGCACAGTCTGATCAGGATCTATGCTGTTCGCTTACCAACCCTATTAAAAGTAGAGAAACTGATAGCCAACATCATGGATCTTGATCAGACTGCGCGGATGCGCATGCTGGTCAAGTTTCCATGCTGGTCGCAAATGCAAAACGTTGGTTTTGTCGTTACGTGACTCATATCTATTTAGGATTAATGCAGTGCACTAGAATACTAACTTTACCATTCATACTCAAATGTTCGTCCGGACCTTGTACATGTTGTTATTTCAAAAGTTTAAAGATATCAGCTTAAAACTTCATAGGTCAACAGATCTTATAAAGAAGGGGGTGCAGTGCGAAAGAATGCTACACAAAGGTAACCCGAAACAGACAAGCATGTAATTCATTTATAAAAGGCGCGCGGTTATGACGTTATTTTATGACGTTGTTTAAAAGCGCAGTACATCTACCTATAATAATTGTTTCGAGAGTGGTTCAATAAACTTTTAACTTTCAACAATTAATTCGAGTTAACATTTTAAAAATAAAAATAGCGTAAGTTTCTCACTTTGTAGTGTGATATGTAGCTTATCCTAATACATGACATGAAGTATGTTGTTTTCCATGTTTAAACTGTTACATATTTTACAATTTTTGGCTATCGTCTCGGTCATTTTGCCATAAGCAGGTGAATATCAAATCATATTCAATGTTTCACTAGTCAGTTATTGTTTTATCATATGAATAGGCTTACATTAAAAAAATGATAAAAAGTATAACCTTATATACAATTTTTGCCTTCATTGAAGCGCGGGAAAAAGGCGCACGTGCCAGGCGTTCACTAACTACGAACAAAAGTAATTCAAGTTTATACACAGCATTGCGGTAAAGCTTTTAACTATTCTAGTGAAGTAATGATATTACAATCCAGAAAATATCATTAAGAACAAGTCGCAACATTTTTTTTTAATTTGCACGCGTTATTAACAGTCTACCATGTATGGTCATTGAATATAAGTCTCAATCTATTTTTAGAATTCAGCCAGTGAATATGACACAGCCACTTTTGTCATTGATTTGATAGTTTGTTTACATATTTTACATATATTTCAGCACCGGCTGGAAGTGTTCTCACTAATCGATATGGCTACCGTGTGTGTTCCTTTGTCGGTGGTGTTCTGGCAGCTGGTGGTCTTTCTATCAGCTACTTCGCTGTAGATTCAACCTTTCTCTTCATATCATATGGTTTCCTTACTGGTAAGAAGATCTTTACATTTCATAAACGAAAAACAAACATCAACAATAATGAAAACCAAAAATCTTAAATCAAAAAGATACCTTTTGAAACATCATCTGCAATGTATATGCATAATGAACATATAATGTTCTTTCTTGAATTTTGATAATTGTCAAATTAGGTCATCTACGATATCTGTTGTTGGTCTGTTTTTGAGAGTCAAGAAGTGATTTCTTTGTGCAAAATAACATGTCCGCGCGAACTTTAAGTGTGTGTCTGTATTTGTTAAAAGATGAAAATATTTTAACCATTTACATGTAATTGGCTTTCACTTTTCATTACAGGAATCGGTCTTGGAATAAACTACAATGGTTGTATGTCCGCCATAAATATATATTTCGATAAATATAAAACGTTGGCTCATGGTATTTCTTCGATTGGAAACAATGTTGGTTTAATTCTATTTTCGGAATTCATTCTTGTCCTAGAAGAGCATTTTGGGTGGAGAGGAATGCTTCTTATACAGGGTGGAATAATGTTCAATCTTTGCGCGTGCGCAGTTGTCATGTTTCCGGTTAAAATGGGCTCGGACAGAGACAAAAATCAACAGCAATCTCATTCAGTCACTAATTTAAGCAAACCAGTGAAAACAAGATTAATGAATTTCTCTATATTAAAGAAACTTTCCTTTGCCTGCCTTTGTGCTAGTCATGTCTTTTTCAATTTTAGCTATGGAGTTTTTATATTACATTTACCGTCATACTCTAGAGATATAGGCTTTGGCAAAAACGATTACGGGTCTTTGTTTTTATCTCATGGAATATGCAACATCATAGGGAAAGTTTTCTACAGTTTTCTAGGGCATCATCCAGAAATAAATGTTATATTTGTGTACACAATATCACTATTTGCGACAGGGATTTGTATGGGTTTAACTCCCGTACTTCTTACACGTACAGGCATTCTTGCTATAGCTGGTATAGTAGGATTTCTATCTTGTGTTACGGGTGCTTTAATCAACGCTGTCGTTATCAAAATAGTTGGATTTAGGAGGTTTTCTGATGGAATTGGTATGTCATTACCATTTAAAGCAACCGGAAATATGATTGGTGGACCCGTTGCAGGTGAATATATTAATTGATGTTATTACTCAAATTTTGATGTACAAAATGATGCCTAGTTACGTTTCTTGCTCGATTTTCTTATTTTCTGCTTACGGCTTTAACTCGTTATTTGATTAATAAGGAAAAGTTAGAGACTCTGTTAAGAATATTTAAGAAGATTCGGGTTCAGTGAGAGTTTTGACAAGCATTTCCAAACACGTTACGTATCGAGTTATATATCACCTTTGTAAAACAAAAGGACTGACAGGTCAGCACTAATGATAAATTAATCAATGTTTTGTGTCATTTACATGCAAAGACCCATGTACCTATATAAAATAAATCATAACATTGACAAAACTAATTATGTTTATTTAATTTTCAGGGGCGTTATTTAAAAGTACCGGAAGTTACGCATTTTCTTTTTATATGGCTGGTGCCAGTATGATATGTTCATCTTGCCTGATGATATATCCAATTGTTCACGAACGAACAAGTAGACGGACATGTAAAGAAACAGATATTAAAATTATTAGTGAAAAAGATCTTAGATTTATTGTAGACGACACAATGGAGAGTACAGATGTTGTCGAGAAACAGTGTGAGAGTGGACATTTTCTAAATTCAGATAAATAAAATAGTAACATATAAAGGAAATCAGATATAAGGCAAATTAGAATACAATCATCGGCAACAAAGATCTTCAAGTTGGTACCTGATTGATTTGTGCTCTTTACGTGTTGCATTGGTAACTCATAACAAAATTAAGTTTGCATATAAACAAAGCATGTCTTTGCTCTCAAAAGATTGATATTGTATTTGGTTACTCACAACACAATTAAGAAAAAACATGAAACTGCATGATATTCTTTATGCTTACACGTTCTCACACAAGAAACATGTAAATTGGCAAAATATTCAAACATTTAATTTGCTCCTATTTTCTGATTTTTGCTGTATATGCTAAAATTAACTAATGTTGTAACCTATATTTACTTTCACAGAAAACGGATTTTATAACATGACATGACATGATATAATCTTTATACTCATTTATTAAGCAAACTGACCACGGAGTTTGTTTTGGTCTTAATTGCTCAGTATACACAGTATATTTTGCTAATTCAAACAATTGTGGTTAATGCATAATAACGTTTGTTTTGTAACTCACACGGTTGTAATACATGATCTCTAAGAAATAACATCATTTTAAATGGTTAATAATTTCAGAATAATTGTATGTTCCCAATCTACATAAGGTTTTGATGTTCATACTGATATACTTTTTCGGATCCATTGTAAACGTTATTGAAATGATTATTTTGCGAATACGTTTTGAGTATGCCAATATCAGGTTCATAAAATATACAATGACGTCAGAATTAAACTTTATTTGTATTGCGTTGACTTTTTGCATGACGTTTGTTAACATATGTTTTTAAAACATGACGGACGGTTTCTTTTTTTAATTAAAGAAGTTTTTAATTGATGGTAAATACAACATATATACATATATATATGTATAAATTATATGTAAAAAATTGTGTATAGCGTTGAATCAAAACTATTCATATCAATTAAAACATTTTCGTTTCGTTGTATTTCCTTTGAATTATTGTGTTGCTTTACGTTATGTAGGTTCAACTATTGATTTAACGAAGAGTTATATTAAATATTTAAAGAATGATCTAATGTATCATTTGTATTACTGTCCCCATGTCACGAGTTGGAGAAATATTTCGAACCCATGATTTCTGGGTTGAGAGGCAGACACCTTAACCACTAGGCCACCGCTCCGTCGTAAATATGTTGTTGAAGCTTCATTACAAAATTGACTGTACTCGTTAAAGACAATAATATTATGCTTGCCAGAGGCTCGGAAAATATGATTTTATTCAACCCGTTCAATAAATTCAGAATTAAACCTTCAAACATTCAATATCCTCTATTTATGGCCTGCAGCCGGAGAATGGATTCATCCTAAAACGTAATTGGTTGGAAAAGCTTAAAGTAACTTATAAGTCGTTGAAAGTCATCCATCAGTGATGGTTTGGTTTACGATGTTGCAAGTCATAGCCTATACAGTACATCACCATAGTATGTACACTCGTACATAAATGAAAACAGATATGTAAATTTAAAGAAAAATTAGAACATGACGATCTATCTATCAATTAGGAAATGAAATAAGAGATGAATGTTGAAAAAATTTCACATGTCGAACGGATTGGATCTGCGCCATTGTAGTGTGGCTTCGAATAATAGGTGTGAAATTATTTCATAATAGTATAATCGGAACCTAAAGTTTACTTCGAAAAATAGGAGGTATTCGGATAATGCATTTCGAATAATACGCTCGTATGTATATAGTTTTATATAGAGATAAAAACGGGATCGCCGACCGGGTATTCTAATCATGGGTTGTTGAATAACCGGTATCTGACTGTATTTAAAATTGATTTTTATGCTGCTACTGTCAATATCATCAGCTGGATAAAGCCTTGCCGGATAAACTTATCTATCTCCAGTCATTCCCCATATGATGTAGTCACGTGGTTAGCAGCAAACAAAACTACAAAAATAGATCTTTTAATGGGGGAAAAAGTAAAAAAAATAAAAAACCTTTTAAATTTATTCTAAATTGTTTAAAAAGCAGGAAAAAAAAATACAGGGTTTGGATGTGGGGAAAAGAAAAGGGTTTTAACCCGGGTTCGCGGGCAAAAAGTGAAATTTTGGGGTTTCGCTAAAGCTCGCCCATATTTTACTTTCTCGCTCCCCGGGAAATAAACCTTCCCCCATCCCGAATCAACCATTTTATTTTTTTATTTTAAAGTAGAAATATTTTTTTATCTTTTTTCAAATTTAATCAATGTTTAAATTTTAAATTTTCTGTAAAGAAAAATGTTAAAAATTTATTAAAAAGCATCCAGAAAAATTTAAAAAGAAATTAAATGAAATATAAACTTTTGGGTTCCTCCTTAAAAATTTAAAAATTGGAAAAGTTTTTAAACCTTAAAAACTTTTTGGGGAAAAGGAGTAAAAAACATGTAAATTTTTAAAATAGATAAATATGCCAAAAAAGGGGAAAAAAATGAAAACATTTTAAAATAGTCTAATGCTTTATGGTAAATTAAAATATGAAGTCTGATTCTCCACGAAAAATTTTTACAACAAAAAGTCATAATGCGCTTTGCTACATCAAAATTCACTCAGTGAATATGTTTTAAACGCACGGGGAAGTTAATTGTCTTTGCTGTTTTTGCATTATCAAACCCAAATTTCATAAGGGGAAAACCCCCTGAAAAATGAGACTATGTTTGAACCCAAAGAAAATTGCAGCTATTTAAGATCATATAAAAATGTTCAACTTCTCAATCTTGGGTGTACACTTATCTAGATAAAAACTTATCTAGATAAAACAGAATATGACTGTGTTATTTGTTACAGTGGTATTCAACTTTATCATTATTATTATTAATAACGATTGTAAATTCTTACAAGACACCGTTTGGTTGGTTTGGCTGGTTTGTATCAAATCTCGTGCATTGCCTGCCATCTCTGACCGACGTACTGTGAAGACGTGTTCTTCGAACCTCCTGTCGAAGTTTTAAGACATTCATCATGACAGTTATTAAACAGTTATTTTCCTTGTGTATGCCTATCGCGAGTATACTATTTTAAGTGTGTTTATTTTAGAATTACACTGTTTTTAACTTAAAATGGCATTTGACACGTATGCAAACTTCTCTTTTATGTAAAATCAAAAAAATGTTATCATTGTTAGGATTTCAATTACGTTATATAAATGAAAATAAACATAGGTATAATTATTTTTATTAAATAATAAATAGAGCTTGATTGATTTTTTTGTCTTAGATAAATTTCATGATAATTCATTATCTTCTAATATTTTATTTGATTTTACAAACACTTAGGTTACGATTTTTGACACGTTTTTCATGCTTTTTATAACGTTTATATATCACAATTTTAAGCAAAGACCCGACGTACAAAATCAAAAGAGAGATATTAGATTCCTTTAATTTAACATTGAACAATGTTAAATACATTATTTCAGGGTACTTATAGACCTTTATACGACGCAGTCCGTTGCTATGAAAAATTGACCGGACTTAGTATTTTCTCGCGCATACGCAATCTGCGTAGGGCAAAAAAGCGCTGCCCTACATAGAAATGTAATAGATAATCAAAGATAATTCCGAGTTAGTTTAAGGTAAAAATTAGGAAATCATATAAAATACACAAACATGAAAGATACATTTATAGCTTTGTGGCCAAAATTGCCACAAAAAAGCACGGAAAAGACGATTGTTTAAGAATTCCCCCTTACGATCACGGACATGACGATGAGATAATTGATGTAAAAATGTCGAAATATATATATTATCAAATAAAGAAGTCAATTTAATTGTTGAAATTATCTTTTAAAAACTAAAGAAATTTTATAACATATAAAATAGAGGTCTTTCTAATTATATGTCTATCAAATTTTACACACATTTTCATTAACTTCACAATATACCGGTGTTTTATAAATTTAAAGCCTATGATTAATCTAACAAATAATTATTTCTGTGAAAATAGTTTTTGTTTAGCTTTATTTAATGGTATCATTATATACAGTGTGGCGCCGTTTTATGTCGCAATGCCGCTAAATGTCGCACCATTGCCGCTAAATGTCTCAACCGCCGCTAAATGTCGCAAAATCATTTGCCGTTAAATGTCGAAATGTTAACGTTAAATGTTTCACGAATTATGATATTCTCGCTATCATAATCCGGTTTAAGTAATTTCATTGATTTGAAGACCTTTTTGCTTGCTAGAAAGTGTATTCTAGAAAGATACAATTGAAATTCAATTCTCAATAGATAAGTTTTTTCTTTTTGTCTCCCTTTTTCATTTATAACCCTGATTGACAACATCTTAAGGTATTATGATATTCTCACTATCAGATTTCGGTTTAAGTAATTTCATTGATTTGAAGACATTCTTTTTTGCTAGTACTAATAGTAATACAGTCATTAATGGGCGATTTAAGCCCCATTTACACAGTCCCGGTTTGGTGTCCCGGTTTGCCACGTTTAGTCAACCGGGATCAACCGTGGAAAACCGGCGTTGGGCCGTTGCGATTCCGTGAAGTAAAGGGACAAACCATGGTGAACCGGAGCAAACTGAAAGATTGTCATGGTTGTATTTAAATGTTTAATACAACCGGGGCTCACCGGCACTCACCGGGAGGAAGCCAAAAAAACGTGTTCTATCGGCTTGGAACAGGGAATTGCCGGGAAACCACCATACCTATACTGCATCCATACCGTGACAAATCGTAGTTAACCAGGATGCGTGTCAACCAATGTCCAAACGGCAAAGCCCCGGTGATGACACGGTGTTGCCACGGTGAAACAGGCAGAGCTACGGTATAGACCCTTCTTAATATTACCTCATACATATTCATAGATTTCTCAGAACGAGGCTAACAGGGCAAGCTTCAGTATCTGCTCAATGTAAATATATCACGAATATATGGCCGAAAGATTTTTCTACAGTGTCAGAGATCTTGATAATGTTCTGTTTGCTACATACTTGTTGAGGACTATATTTAACATTACAAAAATCTCTTCTGGAGATGAATAAATCAACAAAGGGTTTAATTTGCACTAAATACAGTGAAGGATATACAAGACCTGATAAGTGAATTAAAGTTTATGATAATTCCAAGTAATTTCTAAAATTCTTTGTCAGTATAAATATCAGGTAAATTCTTTGCAACTTAAACAGATATTATCTGCGTTATCAGTATTTTATTGCTAACCTAAACACATGTTGGTCAAGAGTGTATAAAACAATTAACTGATAATAGATGTAAACAGTTGGATGCTGAATTCTGTACCATACTTCCCCTGAATTTAGCTATTGAAAGAAATGAAGTTCAAAAAAGTTTTATTCACTTTGTATTTAAAAGTAAAAATTTCTGGATGACTCTCTAGAAACTGGTTAATTTTACAGACAACCTTATCAAATCAAAATAATATTTTGTTTAAACATGACACCCCCGTCTTATACATTTCAATGAATTTCCAGTATCATTACACATGATATTGTTTACAGCAATGTAAAGATACATTTTATGCTAAGTAAGGAACTTAAAACTTATATATTAACAACTATGTAATTAATTACAGTATAAAATATTTAGTATATAACTAAATACAATCATTTCATTGCAAATATCAGTCAAATCTTAAGACGAAGCCGAAGTATCATTAGATTATTGCACTTGTCCAGTTGGTCCGAGTTGATTATGTGGTCATATTGTTGGAACCCTCTACTGATTGGTATATAACAAATCATTTGGGAACATGGCACTTCCAGAGGATGTTGCCTGGACTTACCAACCCCAAATAATCCATGTACTGAGGGGACTGAACATTCGCAGAAAACCTGTGCAATATCTTGCAGTTGGAGGGTATTAGGAAAGGCAGTATGGAGTTTAAGCACTTCTTTTAACATTCAAAGAAATATTCTCTCAACAATATAATGCAATAAGAGGACAAAATATGAAACTGTAATTAACATGTTGACATATTCCCTGCAGCTGTACCATATATCTAACAAAGCACAATGTTAAAAACAAAGTAATGCGATGCTT